TGAACTGTCATGCCTTTGGCTGACAGAGTGTTAACTTGGAGTTTGGCATTTTCACTGTTGACGTCCAGAATCTAGGTTGGTTTGAAACTCAACCTAAAGAAAACAAAATGGGAAAACTCCGTTTAAAATTCCACATGCCATTTATTTAACTCCAAGAGGCACTGGAATGGCACCCCAAAAGCACTCTAGTGTGAGGCTGACATCTTATCAATCCAAAATACAGTCAGCCAAGCCTGAACTGCATGTAAACCGGACACATTAAACACATTTTACTCCTTTGTTCAAACTGGCAGGAAGGATTGACTGTCCCATGCTCAGTGGATCCTTTGAGAGAACAAAGACTTAGAGAGCTAAGAAGCAAGGTCTTATCTAATTATCACTTATCTAATTCTTCCTACAACAGAAACTGGCTTAGAGAGGCTGAGTGATTAGGCCAAGGTCACAAGTAACAGCAGAGCCCAGAATAGAAGCCACGGCACCAAATTTCTTTTAGGAAGTTCTAAACTGCCTCTCAGAGTTGTGAATTAAGTGGAACATGCTCCACGCATATAGTACTCCGTGTATTAATAACCCGCAGTTGTTTCCGCAAGCGCCAATATTAACAATCGATCGGGGTTCAAGGTACATGAACAAGGGTGAAAGCAAAGCGAGAAAGCGCCGCGCGCGCGCGCGTGTGTGAAAAAGCACGACTGAAGCAGTGCACGAGAATGAGCACAAATAAGATTAAGGAAAAATTAATTCCCTCCGGGGGCGAGGGCGGGAAGAAGGAAGAAGAGGGAATAGTTGGAGGAGAGAGTTCTGAATGGAGTGGAATGAGTCGGGGAAAGACCTGCGATTTATGGGTATGACGTACGCGCAACGGATTCCCACTCAGCTGTTGCGCCTGCGGGTGCCTCAGTTTCCCGCCCGTGCCGTGGTACAGGACTGTCTGGGGTCGCCACTCACGAGACAAATGTCTTATTAAGTAAGATTGGGCTCAACATTTTGGAGATCCTGGCCCGACTAGGTCGGGACGAAGACCACCCTACACGCGGGTTGAACCCCCTGCGGTGACTTCCACCTGTCTGGTCTCCCGTGCCTGCTCCACGGCCATCGCATTTCCGGGACGGACTGGGTTCACCCGCAACAGATTTTCTCCTCCTTATAGCTCCGTCATGAGCGCTTCAGTCCTGAGCAAGCCGAATGCGAGCCCCGAAGGAGAAGAGTGCGCGACCAGCTCCGACCCGCGCGTCTTTGGCTCACACGGCCGCCGTGCGGCTGCCGCGCAGGCCCTTCAAGCAACAGCCGCCAAAGCCACGACCGGCAAGAACGCGGCAGCAACCTTCCCTCCGAAAGCAAGCACCTGCAAAGACACACACGGGGGGGAAACTCCAGCCATTAACCCGAATGCAGAGAAACGCACAGTCACTTCGGCGATCAACAAGAAAAAGAAACTACACAGAGCTCACGACGGAACACTGAAAGCGAAGCTGCACCGCAGCTGTACGAGCGAAGACCGAGACAAAAACAAAACCCCCACGAAGACCAGGAACAGCACCACAAGAACCCAGAACGACAACAAGAAAGCGACCGGCATGGGACTCCTCCAAGGGCCCCGCCAAGCCCTGGAGACGGCTTCGAAGGACCCCTACGCCAACAACCAGAGCAAGCAGGGAAGCAGCCACGGACCCACACCACCGCCGCGCCCGCACGGCCCCGAACCCCCATCCCCTCCAAAATCGAAGCCGACGAGCAAAACGTCCCAGTGCCAAGCACAGAAACCAACAACAAAAGAGCAAAGGACCCTAGAAAACCACAAGGTGAAAACACTCCCAAGCAGGGCGAGGGAGACAACAAGAGCCAGAAGCTGCCGACAGACACAACAGCAAGCCGGACGCACGGGCCAGAAGCCGCCAAAGGCGCTGCACGCGGCCATAGCAGGTAGCAACGCAAACACAAAAACAGCATCAAAGCAAAAGACCCTAGAGCACCGACACCAGTGGGAGAGAGAGGTGAAGACAGACAACAAGACAGCGAAAACAGAGAGAAACGGAGAAACAGAGAGAGACAGGGAAAAGAAGGAAGAGGGAGAGAAAAAAAAAAAAGAAGAGAAAGAAAAAAAAAGAGAGGAAAGGAGAAAGACAGAGAAGCGCCAAATGCAGCAGTGTTGTCGTTTTAGTAAATTTTACTATTAACCTTATTTGCGGCACATTAGAGTGACGAGTCAGAATGCCTTGATTCCAACCCAACTAACTCTTGATACATAGAAGTTGTCCCCCTAGGCAAGTTTTCGTCTTGCTTCTTGGTTGGAGAGAATCATACCTCTCTCATTAAAGATGAAATGACATACTTCGGTGAAGCCCTTTGTGTTAGCTGTTAGGATTCATAGTTTTCAGACCTCTCCCCCGATTTTGTGTTTTTCATCCTTCTTGGGTATTTATAATCCAATGTTATGTAAAACTTGGTACAGGGTAATTTCGCTCACTTCTAAAATTCCGCATCTCTCAGGTATTACCCTTCATGCTAGGTTGTCAACAGTGTGAAGGTGGGAGTCAGGTCTAATTTCCTTGACATTTTTTTTTTCCAAGAATGTTTTTCAGAATTTTCTTTTCAGAAGAATGTTTTTGTGAATAAGCAGGTGATTGTAATATGGCATCTCATGACTTATAAGATATTGTTTTAGGATTTATTTTTCTTTAAGTACAGACTTAAGTAGTTAGGAACAAATTATGAGTTTTATTATTTTTTTGGCTCAGTTTCATTAGGGAAATTGAACTGCCATTGGGCTGCTGATTTTGTCTGTACTTCAGCTCTGGAGCATACTATCTAGAAAAGATGATTCTCATTGGTCTGCAGAATTGTGTGTTATATCACTTTCTTAACCTGGTCAGTCCAGTCCAAGATGCCAGCAATAACTTCTCTTGGATCTAACTTGTTCCTTATCCCCTTTCCAGAATTTCCCCCAGTCTTTGTGTTATAAATATTTTTCTTCCTTTATTTCCTTGTCCCCCTCTCACACCTGTTTTCTGTTACTAGGGATATTTGCTTGAAGCCAGGACCTCTGAACTTAACACCCCACTCATCTCCCGAAGTCCCAGTTAGTTCTGAAGGAGGTGGATGATGTCTTAAAGAGGTTAGAGTTCAAGTAAGGGAACAAGAGGAGAGAACCGAGGTAGCATGTACCGCGGAGCTGTGTTGCCTCAGAGGTTTTTGGTGGACAGAGTGGATGATGGCCTCCTGCCTTCACGATACTTCATCTCGCTGTTCTCTTCGACCCCACTTTTCTCCGCTGCCCAAGGTCATCTGACTTTGTTGTCACTGTTGTCTGAGACTTCTGCCTTTGAGTTGAGTCCCAGAGCCTCAGAGCACCAGGACTCATAGCTGCCCTTGGATTTTGCTCGTTTTGTATTTTAATGTGCTTTTTGTTTGTTTACTTTTAACAGTAGAAATATTTCTTGGGCAAATAGCTTTAGTATTGAAAGACTGTTTAACAAAGTAATATCATCCAGGGTACTGAGCTGTGAAGACTCCTAAGAAAATAGGTTTTCTTACAATTGAATTTTCTTGCCTTTGTGTTTAAAATCCTTACCACATAGATGGAAACAGTTGAATTAAGTGTCTTAAAAAATAAAGATACTGTTCTGCCTCTT